CTGCTATAAAGTTTAAATTTGATATCAATATTTTAAACATTTGGTGTTAATTAAACAAGTAGGTCAGCCTAAAATTGCGTTGGATAGTAATAATGGCATCGTGACAGATATTAACTGTATTATAAATTCCATTGATAGAAGATAGACCAATTCTATAATGATTTCCAGTGTGTTAGATATATATATAGAACATACATCATAATATCAGTTATGACTGAGTCGGAATATAACTCACACAATGAAGGAAACATAACCCACACACACAACATTATCACACACAATATTTGCGGCATTATAATCAAAAGATGTTGATACAAGTAATAAAATTAAACAAAATAACATTTTTGTGTACCTACAGCAGAAAGGGGCGTGCAATAATAAGTCTTATGTATGATAAGCTTTTGTGAGATGTCGACGAACTTTGGCGGAGCAGTAAGCCTATTACGTAATAAGCAACCGCTTAGATTGTACAATAATTTTGCGACCGTCGCTTTGTGAATTGAGGGTTCTATTTTGAATTAATTCTGTAACAAATTAACCAATAATTGATGACAAATGTCGATTCTAGAACAATGGTAAGTAAAGGGTGGTTTAATTTAAGTAATGCTGATAATAATTATTATATAAATCGAGAAATTTAAGCCGGTTTTGATCATTTAACAGTACATAAAATGATTAATTTTGGTTATAAATAGTAGACTATTTTGGAAACATGTTTTAAAGGAAGTGAAATACGCCACCGTAATAACCTATTTAATATAATGTAACCTCAAACAGCCATGATTGTTGCGAAAGAAGTGTACCTTTCTCGATTAAATGTGGCGTATAGCTGTTTTGATAATGATAAGTCATGATATTTGCTTTATTTCCTTCAATTAACTCTTCTATCACTACAATATATCTCTACTCTCCTATCTCAATTCTGAGCCTAGTGAACAAGAAAGGCATGTTATATTTACACTTCTTATATACCTGTGTATAAGCGGAAAGTCTAGAATCTGGGGAATGCCCAATTGTAGAAGCAAAACAAAACGTACAAAAATTTACCCATGATAATCGCGTGGCTTAATAATGGTTTAAGCCGACAACCGGTTGCTCGGGTCATTTGCGAAACAGGGGCTCACCCAAGTTTGAGTTATGAAGCTGATATGAGTAACAAATGTTAACATGTTGGAATGCATCTCGTAAACTTTATTAATAAGAAACTCTTTTGACGTAGCCTTGAGTTGGTTAGTTTTTCTTTAAACTATTAACATGATATTAACATGATAGATTGCACTGGAATATAAATGTCATATGGCAATCGCCGATAAAACATGGTTTCAGTTCCTGACAGGGCAAAGTTACATGAGAACTGAAGATATCGATTAAGCTTGTTTAATGCTATAATTCTATCAGTCACCATAAGTAGGTCTAAGTGCCATACAGATACTAGAGGTATTTTTTTAGGAGGGAAAAATCATCGAATGACTGCTCACCTGGGTGAGGCGGGAGGGAGACTCTTACTAACTAAAAACCACCCCGTTCCTTCTCCTGCACGCCGAGCCAGAGCCCCGGTAACCCGTTAGGTTCTCCGCGACAATACTAGAGATATAGGAAACCATTTAACTGAGTCATCAGTTACGGGAAACCCTCTGAAATGATGGTGATTACAATCATCTGAATGTAAGTAGTTGATTCGTGCCATTTAGTTAATTAAGAGTAATTAATAAGACATACTTCGTTCGATATAAATCGAGAGCTCGTCAAAAGACAATTCAAGGACAAAATAAAATGCACCAGTTGTAGTCTCGAACAGGTTTCATACATCTGAACGCAATCACAATAAAAAAATACTACAACATTGTCCTAAGGTTTTTGAAAAATGCATGCAAGTCCGGTTATTAAAGCGACTATCATGGCCACGATGATTCCGTTGTAAATACTTGTAGAACCACTATTTACCTCTATAACAAGTTCTGTACACTTTTTATTTGAATGCACTTTAACAAAGCCATCGTTTTGTTTGTTTAAAAACATTGCAGTCTCATAATACCCGGTCAATTTGGTTTGTTTGCATAACTTGGAGTTATTGTCAATTAATGTTAATGTACTTGTCGCACCAAGAAATGACACTGAGAAGTGCGATATAACTGGCATTGACTGTGTATCTTCTCGTGACAATTATTCCCGTACGGAACAATTTTAGGGTGATCCATAATCATTGTTCAGTCTGGGTGATGTACCATGTATGAATGTGCCATGTGTGTGTGTATGTGTGTATGCATTATTATGTGTTTAAATGTTTAATCAATACAAAATATTAATGTAGGCTTTATTTAAAAGAATAAAGGACGATAATTGTTTTTGTTAAGTAGATCACAACATGACATTAAAAAGAATGCAATAAAATTGCTAAGGTGATGTGAGGAAGTGAATGGACGAGGAAGACGGTGAGTCAGTTTTACAATTATTTATATTTATTAGTTCATTGAACCGTTACTTATGGCTGGTAGAATAAGCCATCGAGAAAAACAGCAGTTGGAATTATTAATAGAACAGCCTATATCACAGCTTATAAGTGGGCAATACTGACCAAAGCCTTCATCTCATATGGAGAAAATTTGAGTATTAGATAATCACCATGCTTGCTTAATACGCCTTGACAATTTGAAACTTATAATTAGAAATTATAAGCCTTTTCTCACGATGTTTTCCTTCACCGTTTGTCAGTGGTGTCTGAATAATCTTAGAAAGTACATGTAACTCCGAAAAATTCACATTGGTATGAGGTAGGTTTAAAACCCGCATCCGCATCGCATGAGAAGCGGGCGTCTTAAACCTCTGCGCCACCAAGACAGACAAGCCTACTAGGTACACCAAATGCATGCAATAACTGACAATCAAAGGGCCTTAAGATTAAGTATTATAGACATTTTGGGTCATTGATTGCATTGTGGTATTAGTGGGTGGCTTAACCATTAGACAGGTCGTGACGAAAATATGTGTAACTAATTTCTTAAACATAATTTAATAACAAGTATTGAACTATTTGACGTATGTCGTGTGTTACATACACCGACGGAATTTTCGTAACCATTATCTACTTCGATCGACTTATTATGCATTGACTATGTATGACATGTTGGTCGAATATTGCTTAATGTTATAATTAGGAAAGTGTGTTTGATTTTCTTGTCACAACGGATATGTATGCAATGTTCAAGTATATTTCTAACCCGACTGAAGGAAGGGTAATGTTTTTGTGTTTGAATTTAGTTAGAAGATTGATGAATAATGTAGGTAGACTATTTCTTTTTCAGGGCATCTTATTTCTTACATAAATTTAAAGAAGAATAAAATAAGGTAGTGTACAAAAAATAGTTTTTGATAAAAATCTTTTCTACCAAAGTATTTCATAGCTCCAAATGTAGCTCCAGAAAATATTCAATAGAATCTCTTGACCCCACCACCTAAATTGTGGAAACGTGCAAAATGTTTGCCAAAATTTAAGCCATTATTTTCATTGGATACCATATGTTATGCATAATAATGCATTTCATGAATGAAGCGCTGCGTATAATATGCTAATATGTCATCCCTGTGTTCGTTGATTCATATCTTGATATACAATAGCGTTTTGCATTGTTTTGAGTCAAAAATACGTTGGGAATAATTTAAGAAACAAGTGAACATTTGGACACAAAAAAATTTTTTTTCGTCAGTCGTGCCAAAACATGGCTCTCCCAACACCTAAATTTGGTAGATACATTTTAATTCATTATGGCACCGTGTCAAATGTCACCAATGTAGGTTACATTATTTAAATTCTCCAATATAGCAGAATAGGGACGTAATTAATTATTAATGTAATCATCATAACAGATAATCAGGCACTAATTCAGTAGTTAAGCGTCACCAATACACAAATCAAAATTTCGATCGGCGCTTACAAATGTTTGAAGCGTTTTCATTGGTACATATCAATGTAAACTATTCAAACATTTAAAGTGAAATAGATTTTTGTTCGAGAAAATTATTTAGTTCTCGGAACCCTATTTACTAATAGATAGCCTTTTTGGTCCTTTATCGTCAAAATAAGTTCCTTTTACCGATTTCCTTTAATATATCCAATAAGATTACCGTATCTTTATACATTATGGTCCAAAATACCCTTTAAATGTTTTACGCGAATCCCGCCCAGTGAACAAAGAGTCCCGTTGTCTGTTCATCGCTCAGAATTTTTCATAAAGGGAGATCATTAAATTTGCACAGATCATTTATCAGCCAGAACCTCAAACCTAAATTAAGGAGGAAATAGTGAGTTTCATTTTATTTTTCTCTCAGTTTATTTCCTTGGTAACTAAGAAAATACTTTGGTCCAACGACTTTATTGACTTTGAACGAACATAAAATCGCTGTTCGATGCGTAGACAAGTTTCAGAGCATCATCATAAAAGTCGAGTCACTTTTTTGCCGTTTCAAGGACACTTGGGTTGTAAAAAGAAGATTTTGTCATTAAATTTCTTCAAAGTGTTTTTCACTGGAATTGAAGTTTTCAAGAACTAATATCGTAGTGAAAGTGCCCCTTTAAAATGGTTCAGCTTGTTAGGTGTTAGCTTATCGTGTGTCGTAAAATGTATTTTTATTTCCAGAATATACCTAATCGACATTGACCTACTGTTTAGGTCCGACATTTATTTAAAAACAAGATCTGGTTTATCAGACATTTTATTATATAATGAGGACGTTTAAATGATTTTAAAATTGTCCATTTCACCATTCATCCTTTACCCACCACTGAAAAAGCGTACTAAAATCCTTTACAGTTTCACAAAACAGTTTAGACCGTATATACCTAACAGTGATTCGACACATGCGGGTTAAAAAACATTGTGAGCGCACCTTAAATTCGCTCCAGCGATCCAAATCCGGTTTTTTGTTTTTGAGAAAATAAACTCCGTATATAAAACGTTGGTGAGAACAGAGAACTTTTCTTCGTGATTATTAGTGCAAGCAAGATGGTACTCGGTCGTGTGCACTGCGCCTTTTGTGTTGTACTTGTGTTCCAAACTTTATCGTATTGTGATGGTCAGTTCGCGCAAAAGAATTATGAAACGAGTGAGTATGTTTTGGCATTGTTGCGACAATCTCTGTGGGAATTTTGCGGTATAAGGATGATGTTATGTTGGTCCTTTTTGTTATTGTGTGGCTCGGAAAATAGGGTTTTGTATACATTGAAATCTACTGTGCTTTTAAAAATATTTTGTTGTTGTTTTGAGACAATCTCGTTTTTGTTGATAACATGTTTTTTATTTTAAACGTTAGTCAGGAAAGTAAATCTTATTAGTTTTTTTAAGGGGGAAAATCATCGAATGACTGCTCCCGCCTGGGTAAGGCGGGAGGGAGTTTCAGACTCTTCCTGACTATACCACCCCGTTCCTTCTCCGGCACATCGAGCCGGAGCCCCGGTAACCCGTTAGGTTCTCCGCGGATATTATTACGTCTAGGTTCTATTATACTTCATTCGAAGCTAAAGAAACTTGTTATGCGTTCTTAAACATAGCAAGCATCATTGTTTTGTTGTCAGTGTTTTCAATTATCTACTCATGTCTTGTTTTGTTGTTTATTAAACAGTTTATGTCCACTTGCTGTAATTTGAAGATGGTTGACATCTTCGAAATACCCGAAAATTTAATATGTCAACCATCAGAAATGCTTTCAATTTTATCTAAATCACAGAATGGTACTAGAAACGAAATTTATTTATACTTGAGTCCTCTTTACTTCCTCTTTTAATCTCAACAGTATTGTACAGAAAATCTACAAATCTTGACCTACTTAAACACTGAATGGTCCATCACAGCTTATTCCAATTTATTTTTTCTATAATGTTCTCTTTTACAAGATATTCATGTAAATATTAGATGTATAACCATAAAGAAATAAACATTAAAGGAATGAATTATTTTCCTTCGCTTTTATTACTGGATGGGCGGCACATAAACCTATACTAAGTATCCAGTTTAAGGTGATCTCTTATTTCAAAGAAAGTAGGCTCAACGATAGTTCTGTTTATAATAGACCTTCTGTTGTTGAATGTGAGTCATCTGTACAATAGTTTTAGCCTGAAAATTATTTGGACGAAGATAAAAGACAGACGTTGTTATTAATACGGTAGGTACTTAAGCAATTCTAAGTATAGACCCCTATAAATATAATTATTCTTCTCCAAAACAATTTACGAGATGTCCTTGAATATCCTCTGTAGTTGTAGTGATACTAAAATGAGCACTTAGTGAGATGCTATCTAAATTCAATCTTGACTAAAAGAAATAAGGTGGTATTTTATTTGAATTGGAATTATTTGTCTGCAAGTTCTTTATTTAATTTGCTAGCTATTTTTACATAACTAAGGATTACTGATAAAATGTTCACGTTTTAGGGCATGCACATAGGTAAGCAATAGGTATTACACTTTCAAGGATTGGAAACTTAAGAAAAAGTAAGTTTAATGACCTTGATCAGAAAAATACTTGTTAGACACCTTCTGAAACCTTCAAAATTGGAACCATTGGAACCTCACCAGTTCGATCAAAGAATTTTCTTTGATAGAACCTAGAAAGTTCAGAAATTCATTCTGTATAGACTAACTAAAACGGGACCATTTATTGCATTTTCACAAAAGTTTTTCAAAATATCTTTTGTGTAATCTGTCAGCACTGTTCATAAATTCGTTTATGAATTTCATTTAGTAATACTTGCAGCACTTTTCCTGGAATGAATGTATCTTTCGGACAGAATTTTGAAAATACATTCTGTATCCCTCTCTTCGGAACCTTTGTTACGGAAGAACTTCTTAATTATTTATAAGAAAGGGGACCAAAATGTGTCAATCACCTGATGATAAGAAATCAGTGACTACGTCGAGAATTTTACCGTTTTTAAACCATAAACTTGAACGTCTGCTTTAATTAAATCTAAGGCAAGCGTGTAAAATCTTACTTCATATATCATACAACCAGTACCGTCTTTACTATAAGAGCACTCGGGGCCCGTGCCCAGGGCCTCCGACCTCAGGGGCCCCGAAGTAATGACCATTTCTGCAACGTTTACACACCCGTTACACGTTGCGCGGCAAAGGTTTAATTCTCGCACGGGACACATCTTTGTGTGGTCCACAAATATTTGTTTCGGGTCTGGGTGTCACGTGAATATGAACTTGTATGTTTATAAATACACCCACGTTACAGGAGAAAATCTTAGTGTGGTGCAACTTTAAATAAAGGAGATATTTCAAAAGGGCCCCGAATTATTGTGTGCCCTAGGGCCCCAACGTGATCAGCGACAATGACCTCTCGCATACGGCTCTAGTTTAGGCCATGGTGCGGAGCGAGGGGGACTGGGATGCCGTCTCCTTTTTCTGCGAAGCAGCCATGCTAGCCAAAGAGGAGGCGGGAACGAACCTCCTCAAGCCCCAGCCGTCGCGGGAGACACACCGGGCGTCGTGGATCGTGAGACGATCTCCGGCTACCGTAAGCGCGGGTCTGCGGGACGGCAAGCAAGGCTAACTCACCGCCCGACCAGGACCAGACCCGTGCCTACGGTGCGTCGCGTTCCGCGCGCGCCACAAAATGCCCTCAGACCACCACAGATGGGGCCCAGTAGGGCTGATGCCCGATACGGAGCCGCGGAAGGCCTAGGCCTTCGAAGGCCGCGGGTTGCTGGGGCTGTCAGAAAGAGTCTGACACTTCCTCTCGCCTAACCCAAGGCGGGAGAAGTCATTGGATGATTTTCCCAGCTCAAAAAAGGGCCTCAACGTAATCTAATACGGCTCTGCACACAACCTCTAAGCAATTTCTCACAGCAGTACGCTTACCCACACCAATTAACATATACCCCCACATTTATAAATAACATAATCTTAACATCTAAAGAAACTTGTGCAATAAGTAACGTCGTTCCCTCTACACAAAGTACTAAAGAAAATGAATGTAAAGAAATTAATATTTTCTTTGTTATAAAATAAATAATAATACGTAAATGTTGGTTAGATTGCGACCCCGTTCCGTCGAGTTTATGAGCGTTAATATGCATGCGACTGGCAGCATTTGTAATGGTTTTTTATATGTATTTTTTCTAGACTTCCTTAGCGCTTTTTTCATCGAATAGTCCTAATGTATCACTGAGTACAAGGATTGATGGGTTGGTGATTTCTGAAATTCTCAATTGTAATTAGGTCTTCGCACAAATAAATCTGTCTGGGTTTGAATTGAACCAGTGCCTACCTATTAAACAGTAGTTTTACTTACTACGTTTCTTGTTCTTCCCATATTTCTACGAAGAGTGGTAATTGGTGAATCTGATGATGTTATTTTGTCAACACACAATTTATGCATTTGTTCTTCATGTATAACTGCGACTGCCGAGTAGAGAGTTTTGAACATTCCTAGTTATACATAAATTACAGTAGCATAGAGTCTATAATTGCATGATGTTGTGACTTATGATCTATGCAGATACTTGTTTATAGTAAAAACCTAGTCACTGTTCCTTTCAAAACGAGTTCATATAAAGCTAAAAATATAAATGCATCTGCAGGAAGTCACTTTAAAGATCGTTAAACTATCCCTACACATTTTAATAAAAAAATGAAAAGCAATATGGCCAGTGTGCGACCTTGATATTTTGTGATCCAGTTTAAATTGTTTTCTTATATGAACACTATTTCAAACCGGACAATCTAGAAGTCAATGAGGGACCCTTATGTTCAACAGTGGACTTATAGAAGCTGGTATGATGCTGATAATAATAAAAAAGGATAATACACCTTCTCTAATATGTTCTGTGGATAATACCATGTTTTAGATGTTTATATTAAAACTTTCGTAAGACATACTGATTAATTATTATGTTTTCGGCTAACTCACGTAACGACGACGAGGAATTCGACTAGTTTCAAGCCATGCTAGATTTTTTTATGGAATAGGAGGCAAACGAGCAGACGGATCACCTGATGGTAAGCGATCAGCGCCGCCCATGGACCAACACCAGAGGAGTCACAGGTGCGTTGCCGGCCTTTTATAAAGGAATACGTTCTTTTTCTTGAAGGTTTCTTAGATGCTTATATTCGTGACTCAAGCAGCCAGTAGCAGTGCGACAGTCGCCCCGTCGCGGGGCGCGGAATGCAAACATAATAAGTAATGTTTTAGATGACACCGGATTTCCTCCTGTGTCATCTAAAACATTATCTGTGTCATCAAAGTGTGGGGCAAAGTATTTTTTTTTAAATACAATCATGCTTTCTGACAATTTATCTGAACATTTTTCTAAATCATCTTATCATCCTGTAGTTAAAAGACTTTCCAAAGCGTTTATTGTGAGGATATTTTACCACCTGTATAGTCTATAATTATCTCATAGGATTTGTAAGCACAGATACAAAATTTGCTCTATAACAATAAGGTCGAATTGCTGTTGAGCAGAGTAGAATGATTGTTAGGCTATATTTAGAGTTTGATCAAAAATTAGAGGTAGGTACACACCAACACGTGCTACATAAAATTACTATAATTAGGTAGGAGCATCGAACTTCAGCGTCTCTTAGAAACAAAATTAAAGTTCAATATCGCCCAGGTGTCGATAAAGCCACAAAATTTTATGGTACCCACACATTTATTTTCTCAATACTTTAACTCCTTTGGCCCAACTCTATAACCTTTTGTAAAGTTTTACTGAAGGGGCCGACTACCTACAGAATTATGTTGGGACTAAAAAAATCTAATTCTCCATCCCCTGTAAAAGGGTCAACGAGAAATATGCACATTGTTTTGGTAAAAGAAAATATGTAAAAAGTACCTACTTTAGGCACCTAACCTAAGTTTATTTTGTGCCTAGGTATGTGTTCAGTTACTACAATATATTTTAATTTGGATTTTTCTAGGGAAACATTTTTACATTATGTTATTTCAGTGGTCGGGTTAGGTACTACGTCCTTCTAATTTTAATTACCTTATTAGATTAGTGGGTATAATTTTAAAATGGGTACAACTTTAATATCTACACAGTAGAAACATTCGCAGGTAGGTAGGTATCTAACATGTATCCTAATCCCTCACAAAAAGACTAACACATGAGAACCACGTTATTTAATTAAGTTGGAGATTATGCAAGTCCGCAGACTTTTCATTTAAAACCTTCTAACTGTTTTTTTAAGGTTAGGTCTCAGGCTAAAATCCTACATACCTAAGTACGACATATGAGACTCACGAAAATCAACTTTGGTACGCAAGCTATAAAGAACATTTTCAAGTTACAAGACACAGTCATTATCAAGTGATTTATTTAGTGACATTTTCTTTGCGTGAGAAGTAACACTAATGTCTCATTTTTATCTCCATTATCGTTAGCCTTTCGACGAATGTGATTAAGGTAATATATGTTTATTTGGACGTTCAAAACAAAAACATGATATCTGCAAGAGAACTTGACACTTTACCAAACCAGTATTTACCTACGTAATGTAATAAGGGGCGTACCTACCTTAGCTTTTGTATTTTTTTAATTGTGGCTTTGGTAACCACCATTATGTCAATAAGTTTGAAATTCCACGACCAATATGTAACAAAAATTGTGTTTATTTTAACCGGACTGTAGAAAGGAAGAGTACTGTTCAATATGTTAACAAAGGTTTCTTTACAGAATAACATATTCAATTAATACTTGGCCCCAATGAATCAAAATGGAAAAATTAGACTGCACAGTTGGCGTGGTGGTTGGGCAACTGGTTCCCGTACGCAACGTGTATCGGATTCGATTCTCGCACGAAACAACTCTTTGTCTGATCCACAAATTGTTGTTTCGGGTCTGGGTGTCATGTGTATGTGAATTGTATGTTTGTAATTATAAATGCACCCATAATACTTGACAAAATCCTAGGGTAGGGCAAAAAAAGAAATGGCCTAACATCACGAAAAATGCAATAATTGGTACGTATATGAGATATTCAAGTACGCAGTTAAACATGTAACTGTTAATAGGATAGAATATCGTTTCGACTTTAATACCAAAACCTGTCACTTAACCGCAACGAAACAAAACAAAAGTTGGCAACAGGGAACTATGGAATCAATTTCATTAATGATTATTGGAAGAATAAAATGATATTCATAAAGTTTTACGACCGAAACATTATCAGACTGATGCACGGCATCTGTCAGTAATTGTAGATTAGTCCACATCAATACAAAACGTACCACGAAGTTGAATGACCTTCAGCAATAAGCCGAGCACGCGCCAAGCTAAGTAGACGATACGAGTAGTTGAATTACGTACAAAGTGTAGGTACTTACATTATGTAAATTAGTTATGTTACTGTATTTACTTATCTTAATCGAATTAGAGCAAACAATGACACAATGATAGCCGAGAGCATAGCAATCGACGATAGCGGCAAAACTAGTATCATAAGTACAAGTTTATGAGTTCAATCGCTGCGTTAGGCAACCAAGTACCTAAATTAACTAAAAGGTTACTCACGTGAATATATTGAGAAAAGCTCTACTAGTTTCGAACCACAGAGGGGTTCTTCCTCATGAGCAGCGTGTGCGGTCGCGGCTATGTCGCGCAGCTTACTAGTACCTAGTCCAAGTCAAACCAAGTACCTAGTCTTTATCCCTATTTATCGGCTAGATCCGTATGTATTTTTTTATTTTTAACCTCTGAGGTGGCATCTAGCAACCTCCTTTCGGTATACGTACCCTTATAGAAAGGTTACCTATCTAGGTTATCTAGGGTATCTAGGTTTTTAAACATCTGCAATAACAAAGGAGTCGCGTTTCGGCTTTTTTAGAGAGGCCATCCTGGAACCAGCTTTAGTTGACGAAATATGTTTACCTACTGTTAGATTTTTAATATATTCGGAAAATATTACATTTCCATAGTAGTATTTTAAGAAAACGACAACAATTTAATTATTTTATAGGACAAACTCAAATCTCAAAATAGATTATCTATTTTCGGAGATTGATAGGTAAATAGCGGTGAAAGCTTTAGGAAAAATAGGTACATTCTTGATCTATAATAAGGAATTTAGACGAGGGATGACAGGGTTGATGCCTAAAGCCAAATACTTATTTAGTGAGGTTCCTACAGGTAGGTGCTGTCATAAATTTGTTAGATAGGTAGACCAAAGGTAGACCATTACATAATTTCTTCAGGTAGAATTATTTAGAGGTAGGTCTATTTAAAAAAAATAGATATCAGATAAACGTGAGTTATGGACTTAAAGATTTAATAAGTAGATGCCGACCCGACCGCCGATAGTGAAATCGAAGTTTCGAAGTGAGCTCGATCGTATTGTCGTTGCTCGAGATTATTTTCACCTAGCGGACCGCGATCGAGTTCACTTCGCAGTTTGGAATCGTATGTTATACAATAAGTAACTGTACCAAAAGGGGAAAGTACTGTCTTCTTTTCGGTGTTTTTTGACAAAATAAACGAGTTTGCATAGGTATATAAAGTTTATGATAAAGAGCAACTGCAAAGGAGACAGGAAAACACTTATCATATCATGTTCCCAAGTACTAATAATGATAAGTGCTAAGTGCTTACACTACTTCTTATAACTTCCATAATTCTTCTTTTCAGTATCCCCACTACCGTTCCCGACATGCAGAGCGGACAACATCGACTGTCTCCGCCGAAGTCTCAGGACCTTCTTCTTTCTAATGGACACTGGCCACTTCGGCATGCAGCCAGTCGACCCCGCTATAGTCAACAGTGTGTCCCTAGCCTTACCCGAAGAACAAATGACTTTTGCACTAAGAAGGGTCAACGTAACGGGTGCCAGGTGGACCAAACTCGTCGAAAGGAGGTTTCAATCATTATTCAGAATTTACTCTAATGTTTTTGTGTTATTATGATTTGTAGGGTTTAATCTTAGAAGTTTGAAAGGCAGTTTGAAGGGTCTGTAGGTAATAGAAAGGAAGGAAGGAAACGACCTAGTTGAGAAGTTGACGTATTATTTTACACAAGAAGGTACCGTACCTACTTATTTACCATATGCAGTAAGTAGGTACCTCCGTATAGGTTATAAGAATGAGGACAAGTTCATAGATTTGTAGCACAAAGATTACCTATTGTAAACAGTCTTTAGGTTTGTCTGTCTACGACTTACTTAATTATCTCTAAATAAGATACTGAGCATCTAAGCACACTTAGATAACAGTATATTCATGCTATATATAATACACACGCATTACATATTTTTAATAGTGCGAAAGGATCGGTTAAATTGTTGTTGTAATTACCTAGGTATACCTGAAGGGTATAAACCTGGGTGTATTCAAGGCCCGAGTGAATAGGTTGCTTAAGGGAGGACGTGCTCCATCGTAGACCGCATCATCTATTGCCACCAGGCGAGATAGTGATCAAACGTCGGCCCACCAAATATATAAAAACCAAATATTAACATTCAATTAAAAACCGAAATACTTAACTACGTAGGTCATCAGTTGAACTACAACTACGCCTACTTACAGTGCCTACCTAATGTGATTTTACTGTGACTTTATTTGTGTTTTGTTGATAATCTTCCGGTCTATGATTCCAAGAATAGGTATATTGTATTCTGCTTGTCCACTTTACATGAAAACGAGAAACTTATTTTATACCTTTGCTCATCAAGGTTAGGGATACTACTCGTTAATTTCGGCGGAGATTCTCATCGGGGATGTAACTCAGTGGTAGAGTGTCTGCTTCGCATGCTGAAAGTCCTGGGTTCAAATCCCAGCATCTCCAAATCACTTTTTGTAATTAATAAACATTTTGATTATTTTTCTGAATTTCTTTTAATATTTTTATTATTTTCAGGTTTAATTTAGAAGGTGGTAGAACTGGTGCGGTATTTCTCACCGATCTACATTTGACCGGTCAGATAAGCATGGAGGTGGCTGGAAGGCCGGAACCTCATAACGCTTTCATAACTATGGATATACGTAAGTTGATAAACCACTATCACGTCATGTCGTTTACAAATAATTATTGTAATTGACAACTTGTGGGTAGGTCCATAATATTATTATTGATAACAAACCATACGAAATAATTTGTACTTGTACTTGAGTAGTTATGAATAGTTATGTAAGGTAAGTGAACCAGTTCTCTCTACCATAACCGACAGATAGAACCTGATTCAACCAATCTGAAGTTTCAAAGCAGGAATTAAATTCTAGAGTAATCCCACTTCGTAACAGCGAGTCATTGCCCAGTTATTTCAGATTTTCACCTGAACACAAACTACCTAAAGTGTGTCCAAAGGTAAATTAAGTCTCCGTGCAGTGTGTACCTAACCTAACACCCCGTCTCGAGCAATTAAACTTTGTCCAACTGCAGTTTAGCGCACTTTCTGTAATTTCCTACAATCTGCATATTAAAATAACAGCAATATAACGCAATGTTTTAAATATTGTGTCATGTTAAATACCTACTTTAAATTGGTACTTAGCAAGTCACTAATTACTACTTATGTAGGTACTTAATTATGAGAGTATCATAATCAAAGTGAGATGTTATCATTTTTTAAATTTTATTGTGTAATTTCCTGCCTACCCACTCTACGCGGTTTGCACATTAGACTGCGACCGGTAGCTACTCATCGTAGCGCGGTTCGATTTTAGCATATCATCTAGCCATGCACACACAAATGGTTTATGATGCCAGCACAGAACAACTATGATGTGTGATCCACGAATAACACTTGTTCTAGTAATGGGTGTGTAGTGTGTGTTACTACCTGACCTAAATGAACTTTGTATTTGTAATACTAAACCACAACACGGAAGATAACCCCTACCTCGGCACATACTTTTAACCAAACGCTAATATAATAAGCTGCAGTTGCAGAAAAATTAATAACGAACAAAAAACGAGTAGGTACCATACATCTTCATCAACCATTTCAACAATCAATAAGCTTGGTATATTAAAAATGTTGTATTTTATTGCAGAGGGTGCAGAAAGCAATATAACTTATGTGGGCAACATACAGCGGGGCCATGATAATGAGGATTACATTGTAATCGGTCCCGAGAGGATAGCCATCAGGAACAGGCGAATTCCAACGTATTTTTTACAACCAAGTGAGACTTGATTTATGTTTTGTTTATTTATCCTTGTTGTTATTCCTACCTACTAAAGTAATGGAGGTAAGTAGGTACTTACCTTCCTACATGGGTCATGCATGCCGATGGATGCTACTGTGGATGTGGAAAGATTTTTTATGGCATAAGCCGGTAAACGAGCAGACGGATCACCTCATGGTAAGCAATCGGCCATGGACACCTGAAACGCGAAGGTGTTACAAGTGCGTTCTCGGCTTTTTGGGTAATGGGAATTTGAAGATTGTGGAGAATTCGGGGATTGGGGAAACTAGGGAGGGGGGTAATTAGGCTTCCGGTAACCTCACTCACACGACGAAACACAACGGAAGCGATGTTTCTTCTGTGAGGCCGTGGTAGCATTCCGGTTGAGCCGGCCCATTCGTGCCGAAGCATGACTTTCCCACACTTAAAGTGTCGCGGGTTCCATTTTCGCGCGATAGGTTTTTTTAGCTCATTAAATATGTGTTAAGATCTATGTAAACAAATACCTGACGTAATTATACTGGCAAAATGCAGTTATAATATTACTTAGTAGGTACACTAACACTATACCTACCTACCTACCTACCTATCTAAATAATTGAGTACAAGATTTCAGATGGTAAGTTTGTCTAGACTAGACAATTATCTAGACTAATCTAGAGCAAAACAAGAATAATCCATTAGTAGGTTAATAAATAATTGCCTTTGATGTTGATCAACTGTTGTTGTCTGTAACAAATTCGAATCTAAATAGTAAAATAATTGTTCTCTGTTAAATTGTAATAAAGTACAAAATAGATTAAGTTTTTAAGTGATCTGTGTGTCTCTTTAGATAAGAACTAAAAATTTAATTTAATATGTATTTTTCTTTACAGATTCTGAAGACTCATACATCATTGATGAAGCGTTACAGAAAAAGCCATCAATCCTGGATCACTTTTCTAATGAAATCACAGCAGCCATAATGCACTCTGTAGTCGATAACTTTAGATTATTCTCTATGAATGTACCCATTAAATATTACTATAAATATTACAACAAGTAATTAATTAACACAAGTAACTAATTCAGGAAAAATATCTGTTATTTCATTGAATTAAAACCAGCAGAACAAAACTGAATAAGGTATTTATTAAAATTGATAAAAACAGGCACAGCATTATGTTTTATTTAATATTTTTAATATTAAAAAGGTCACCCATAGACTCTTCAACAAACTTTTTATAGATTGCCATGAATTTAGCAACAAACGCCTCAAGGTGGAATATAGGTTTGTTACCCAGTCTCATTCTATGTTCATAGTTTGCTGCATGACTGGCCACTTGGCATTTCATAGCCATATCACAATTACGACCAACTCCTTCAACAGTCCTGCAAAGATCATATCTGGAGGAACACCATGTATTATCAACTCATACAATTTTTGTCGAACTTCTCCAAGTTTCTTTGCAGTTTGCTCAGATAGTATCATTGTGGCTGTGTCTCTGATGAACTGTTGCCAGTCAGGCTCTGGATCTTTTGATCTGATGTGAATGGATACTGTTGAACTTTACAAGCCTCACACATAAGCAATGCTCTCTTAAATTCCTGTCAGCTGCTTTAGCAAGTCTCGTCGCTAGGTCTGATGGCAAATTCAAACTCTCTTTTTTACAAACTAACTGGAGTACTGAAGCAATCTCGCTTTCTGTAGGTGCTGGCACCTGATTGTTAGACAACGGGATCTGATAGCAGGAATGACACGAGATATGGAGTTAGCAATAAGTATTAAGCGACAAGTTGCGACGTACTTCTCCATGGTTCGACGTAACGCGTGTTGGGCATCTTTTGTTAGATCATCCACCTCATTGAGAATAACAACTTTGAATTCTCTCTGCCCTGATGAATCTATTTGATGAGTTTGTGCCACATTCTTCACTAAGTCCATAATAACCACTCTGTCGTGAATTCCGACATCGGTTGGATTGACTTCAATATGATAGTTGCTACTTACAGTCATGATTTCTACTTTCTTATTGGAAGGTGTTGTAAAGGTCATTGTTTCTTGTCTTAGGCGTTCAACACCAGAGCCATAAAGTTCTCGTAGTAAACACATGATGCGAGTCTTCTTACCGGCTCCTGAAGGACCGTAAACAAGAAGATGCGGAAAATCACTTTGCTGAACTAAACTTTTCAATCTCACCGCTTGATCTTTATGATAATCCAGCTTCATCAAATCTCTCGGTCGATGCTTGTCTACCCAAAGACTCATTATTTTAATTTAAAATTAGCGTGTTATTCTTTTAATTAAAAACAATTTACAATTATTTATCTCCACAATTCCACATCGAGGTTAGCCGCCCTTTAGCCGTTATATGACATTGACAACCGAGAAACAAAACAGACATTAAAAAGCGCGCGCTATTCTGTGTTTCCAGCTTCGGACTTGGCTTCTGAATACAGTATTTTACGTTTTTCATCCCAAGACTACACCAGTGCTTTGTTTTATTTAAGGTAAATAGTATTTTAATACGTTATCAATCAAGCTATGTATAGTGATTTTATACCCACTCATAAATTACCACACGATTCACGATCACCACCACCGAGTGGTTTATTAAGCCAAAAAGACAAGATTTCGAAATAACCACTGAAGACAGTAAAACAATAATGTCATTGTCAACAACAGATACTTTGACAGCTGATTGATTTCTCGATGAGAGTATCAGCGTAAATATTTATTTTAAATCATTGTAAACAAACCGAAAGACAGACATTTTACTGTTTCAAACAATTTCTGTGTATTCATTTTACAACCATATAATGTTAGTATAAACAAAATGTCAGTGATATTTATGATTTTTCAAATCAGTGTTGTTTCTTTGAGTTGCTCTTTTGGAGAAGAAATCAATTTGTACGGCGATGCTGGTGAAGCTTATGCTATAGAAGTAAATATAGGTCATCCACACCAAAAGGTAAGAATAAAAAAAACATTTCTGTTATATTCAAATTTAGAATAAAGAACAAACAGTTAAAAACTAAAGTGCATTATTTTGAGTAGTTAATCATTTTGTTACTTTGATGTTATTTGGCCAGTCTCCAATCGATATAGTTATTTACAAAATAAAAGAGGTCGTATGGAAAACCTAAAAATACAATCTGCAACAAAGTTGTTAATTCTATTTATATTTTCATCACTATTCTGAGAATCCATGTAGTTGCCAGTCATAATGCAAAATTGTTCCAATGTAACCTCAATTAGCTTTGCCTCACTACAATATTATTATAAATGAATACTACTTTAGTCAGTATCTTAAAATTCTTATAAGATTTTCTAGAATAATTAAATGTAGATTTGAATCCTGAATCTTTTATGTTTAGAAGGTTAAAAGATTATTACGAATGTGAACACAAACATTGTGAAAGTTATAATCACTTAAAGAAATAACACTGTGATTAAACCTGTTGATTGGATGATAAAAACTAAGTTATCCACTGATTTATCATATCTTTTCTGATAACCTTTTGATTTATTTTCACACACAGAAAAAAAGACTCGTAATTTTTTTCTAATATGTTGATAATACCAACTTTTTTCCAGTTCAAATTACTAGTAGACACAGGGAGTACAACATTGGCCTTAGCTGCCTATGCTCGAGAAGATAGTAATGTATACTTCCATGCGGACAATTCAAGCAGTCTGTATAATAGTGGCACCACTGTGAGTATAGATGGAGTAAAACCTTTATAGTAGTTTAAGGGTTTATTTTATAATTTGTGATTGAGTTTTCAGTAGTCTAAAGTATCTTTCGTAAGAAATAATTGTATAATAGTGAAGTTATCAGCAATTTATTTAACCTGTTATTATTCATACTTGTTCTGTTTATTACTACTTTTTAACTTATCAGTGCTTCTCATTTAACACAAAATTATGATATATAGCTGGTAAACGAGCAGACGAGTACCCTGATGGTAGGCAATCGGCGCCGCCCATGCACACCCGATACACCAGAGGCGATACAAGTGCGGTACTGGCCTTTTGGGGATTAGGAATTTGAGGATTATTGGGGATTCAGGGATTGGGGAGATTGAGGAAGCCAATTATAAGAGAAGGAACCCTCCTTCTCTAATTAATTAGAACTCCGGTAACCTCACATGACGAAACACAATGTTAGCGTTGTTTCATGTCGGTTTTCTGTAAGGCTGTGGTATCACTCCGGTCAACCTGGCCCATTTGTTTCGAAGCATGGTTCTGCCACATTTCTATGATCATAATAATATGAATGATTTAGTACCGTGCCTAAAAAAATTATCCATATTTACAGATAGAAGCAGCATACACTCAGGGTACATGGACGGGCCTCCTTGCTTCAGACTTCATACAATTTCCATCACTAAGTATACCGGAAGTGCGCTCAGACTTTGCACTCATAACTAAGAGCCATGAATTTTTCACCAAAGCTTCAGTTTGGCAGGTGGGTTTAATTACAGCTTCTTATTGAAATTGAGCCTTATTGTAATAGCTAATAGAGTTTAATATTGAATATCCAATTTTTATTGTAATAGCTTTGTTAATGACGACATCTACCTATTATTCTAATCAAGTATGACTACATCTTTGTAATTGTAAACAATAAACAAAACATATCCAATATTGGAAAGCATTCAACAGAAGTGCACATACATTTTAAAATGAAGTACCTACACAGTTTATTTCCAGTTACTCATGAGATTCATGAGTCCCAGATACAAGGATGATACTCCATACGAGTGTTACCCTTTTTCCTATACATACAATATAGCGAACACACAAACCAACAAACTATGTAACTAGAGAATTGTATTGTAAACCTGATTGAAAAAGAGTAACCTATGCAGTTTCTTGCTCATTCTTCTTCATAGGAATCTACACCTAGGGATGAGTAAATAGCTTCAGTTTTAAATGTTTTTGTTGACAATCAAAAATACCTGGTCTAATTGAAATAAATTTTGACTTTGACTTTGACTTATAACTCTAGGCTACAATATTGAATGTCATAAAACTAATGATTGAACTCCTTTTATGGTTTCTCAACGATGCAGTGTTAATATCAGTCAATTTCTATTCTAGGGTCTATTAGGCCTCGCCTATAACCCAGTTGGAGCTTGGGGAAAGTCCGGTGCAGTAGAGTCCTGGTTAGATGCTCTGGATCGCAACATGAACAAGCCAATGTCATTTCAATTGAAACTCTGTGGACCAATAAGCACGTCCAACACTACACATTATGGATACTTTACAGTTATTGGTAAGTAAGACCATATTTGTATATGTGATATGTATAACTATTATAATCGTGTTGCAACTTTTCAGTTGATATTTATCTATACTGTTTTATGTATTTTATATATACTGTTGACTATCTCGTTGACTGAGTGGTCGCAAGTGCGACTGCCGGGCTTGGGGTCTCGGGTTCGATTCCCGGTTCGGGCAAAGTATTACGTGGATTTTTTCAAAAATCTCAGTAGTAGCACGGAGTCTGGATTGTGCCCGGTATATGACAATAGGCTCACCCCCTATTAAATGGGACTCATAACATAAATAGTGAAAAGTGGGTGTTACTTCTATGTGCACCTCTGCCTACCCCTTCGGGGATAAAAGGCGTGATATTATGTAATATACTGTTTCCAGTATTGTTACTCCTTATAGTTCGTTATCCACTTTTGATTGAAACCTTTTCATTATTTTTTTCATTGAAATAGAGTCCCTTTTTTTAAGGGGGGAAAATGATCCGATAACTCCTCCCGCTCGGGTGAGGCTAGAGGGAGTATCAGACTCTTACTGACTAAAAACCACCCCGTTCCTACTCCTGCACTTCGAGCCGGAGCCCCGGCAACCCGTTAAGTCTTTCGCTCGATCCGTATCGGATTGCTTAAATTCTCTTGGTCTTCTACGTTCTACTACTACTTCTCTACTCTGCTCTACTCTACTTCCATGAGGTTTTTTTTAAATCATTTCCTTTCTATTTCATAAGTGTAACCATTACATAGTAATATTTTATTATTTCAGACAATCAAACACCGCAATCAAATCACAATAAAACATTCCGGACCCCAGTACTAAGGAAGCGATGGTACGAAGTAGGCGTCATAGGTGTCAGAGTCCTAAGTTCATTGACATCTGAGGCTAAGAACAAAACGGCGGATGAAATAAGGGAGCCTGACAAAGATATGTGCTCGCAACTGAATACGGTGAAGAGTATTGTTGATAGTGGTACTACGCAGATTAAATTGCCTGATAAATTGTTTAGAGAGGTAAGTAATATTGTCTGTAACAATATACTATGTACTGCCTCGTTGGCCGAGTAGTCGCAAGTTTGACTGCCGGGCAAGGGATCTCGGGTGGGGCAAAATATTACTGGGTTTTAAAAAAAATCTTTTAGTAGCACAGAGTCTGGAATTGTGCCCGTTATATGGCAATATGGTCACCCCCTATTATGGGACTCATAACATAAATAGTGAAAAGTGGATGTTACATTGCCTCTGCCTTCGGGGATAAAAGGCGGGATGTTATGTTATGCTTTTAACAGTAAAATTCATCTGATTATTGTTTTAAGACGTTTTTTATATTTGATGGGCCGATGTTTAACCACTATCTCGCCTTACAAGCGATGATGCAGCCTGTTTGGAGATTAATAATTGCCACAAAATATAGGGTGTACTTTTTCGTCTAAGGGCCGATTTTTCCAACGCCAACTTTAAATATTTGACAAATTTTCCATACTAAAATAAAATACTGTCAAATATCAATTTTATTCTACACTTAAAATTAACTGATGATTGTAAAATCGGCCCTAAGCTTTGTAGCTAATAGACGTTTATTTCATGCTAAACATTAACTAATAATTACTTAATATTAAATTATATTTCCAGGTTGTTGACGAGTTGAAGAATGAATTTAGGAAGTCTCAAGTTCTTATCTTAGACGAATTTTGGAATCGAAGAGAGGTAATTTTATTGTACAGTTTAAACACAAGTTTGTCTCCTGAATTTAATCTAAAAACAATCAAGTTATAGTGAAAAATTCCTCGAGTACCTTTTTCCGCTCTACCACTGAAGAAAAATAGAAATTGTCCTTTAGTGCTTTTTACTTTATTTATACCACACAAATTGATTCTTCTTTTAGTAAAACCTTATTTGCCTGTCACCAGAATTGGGTACCTACTTGCTAATCCTTACTAATATTATAAATCGGAAAGTGAGTTTGTTTGTTTGTTCCTATTTCACGCCGTAACTACTAAACCGATTGCCTTGAATTTTTGCAGACATAAAGTTAGAAGTCTGATTTAAATAATAGGGTACTTTTTATCCCGGAAAAATTTGATATTACCTAGGGAAAACAAAAGTATTGGTATAGATGGCGCTGTATATATTGGTATATGTCACATAGGCTACTTTTTATCCTTTTGTAACGCGAGCGAAGCCGCGGGTAAAAGCTAGTCAAAAATAGATGATTTCGACTGTTCAATACAATAAAATATTAAAACAGAATCACAATTTCATTAAATGACCAATTTAATTTTAGAATTATGTCAGTGAAATTTTAAGAAATAGTTTGACGCTAGAAAAACGTTACGTCATAATACACAATCTCGTACAAAATTCATTGAAAATTGTCGTTATTGACAGTTCGAAAAAAGTATTGAATTTGACTAGTTGGCAAGTACCCAATTCCATTAATTCATCCCCTAAATTTGGTCATACAAAAGTAGTCTCTAAACATTGGAAATAAGGTCTATAATGTACCTAATGTAATATTAGTGGAGAGCGGTCACCGGTGATCGCTTGGGGATCTATGGGTTGTCTTGTGCAGTTATTACAAATGTCAAGTACATTATGATGTAGTTGAAACCCATAGAAACCATATTTAAACTTCTATATCTTTTTTTACAGGCTGCATGCTGGCTAGAACCTCAAGTGTGGACGTTACCTTGGTTAGCCATAGATCTGCTAAGCGCTGATGCTGACAATCAGTACTTCACATTGGAGATACCACCCCAGGTAAAAGACTTTGGGTTGTTACACAAAAATTTGCCCATTTTTCGCTTAAAAACAATGGGTCCTACCGTATTTTGGCTCATCCGATGGCGCTTGTGCAAACCTCTTGCCTCTCATTCTTCGTCCCTGAAGGAATTGGGTATTTTTCTTAATTAAAAATAAATTATTTCGACTTTTCAATACAAAATATTAAATAAATATTTTATATAACAGACTTTCATTACTTGATTATATGACCAAATTAATATTAGTATTTTAACAGCAATTTTTTTAAAGAAATTAGAGTGTTGTTTGACGCAAAAAACACGTGACGTCACAATACACAATCTCGTATTAGATTCATAGGAAACTGTCGTTTTTGACAGTTCGAAAAAAGTATTGGATATGACTAGTTGGCAAGTACCTACCCAATTAGCTATTGCCACGCCATGAAACGTTCAATATTTTACAAGTGATGTGATTGGACAAAAAATATCTTCCTACATTTGCACCATCTTATGACTAAAAATACGGTAGCCCCCATTCCATAGTGGTTTGTATTTTCATTATTTTACCAGACTCGTTAGGTCAGTAATTACAAGGCATATTGTAAATAACCTTACGACTATTACTACCTTAAGTAGAATATGACGTAGATATCAAAATAGAACAATATCTAACCACAATATTTTAGTACCTGCCTCGTCGGTCGAGTGGTCGCAAGTGCAACTGCCAGGCAATGCATTACTGGGTTTTTAAAAACTCTCAATAGTAGCACGGAGTCTGGAATTGTGCCGGGTATACGGCAATAGGCTCACTCCCTATTATTACATGGGACTCATAACATAAATGGAAAGTGGGTGTTACATTGTACAGTGGCATTAAGTGCCGTAAACCTTAATGGGCACCTCTACTTAGGTTGATGTTATGTGATATGTTATGATATTTTTAGTTGCTATTTCTTGCTCAGGTGTAGTGTTTTAATTTTTTTCTGTCCAGTGCCTTTAGCCAAACGCCACTTTAGCGCTTGTCAACAAAGAGAGTAGAAAACTAAATGCATGGGGGATGTCACTGGCATGTGTCAATATTTTCGTAAATTCCATATAACTAGCGGACCTGACGACTGCAGCGCCATCTGTCGGGCTGATTTGTGAATCTAAACCATTCCCAGATCCCCTTGAACACACACAAAAAAATTTCATCAAAATCGGTCTAGTCGTTTGAGAGAAGTTCAGTGACATACACACTCACAAAATAATTATATATATAAAGATTTAGTTTTCTATTCTACGTGTAGACAAGCGCTAAATGGCATTTGGCTACAGGTGCTCTTCTACTATGAGATATTCTACTATGTTTACAAACTTGTTTCAGAACTACATGTTAGTAGTGGGGGTCCACAACAGTAGTGACACGTCGGGCACAGTGTCCACGTACTGCTACAAGCTGGGACTGGAGACTGGTTACACGGAGACCGTGCTGGGATATACGGCCATGGAGGGATTACAGGTAATTTTATAACAGACTAGGATTTTTTTTAAGGGTGAAAATCATCGAATGCTGCTCCCGCCTGGGTGAGGCGGGAGGGAGTGTCAGACTCTTACTGACTAAAAACCACCCCGTTCCTTCTGCGCTTTGAGCCATAGCCCCGGTAACCCGTTAGGTTCTCCGCGACTCCGAGACAGACTAGGATAGTATAATATTTCTCACCACCTCTACAATTCTCGTGGGTGTAGTTAGAGTTAACTAAGGATCTACATTACCCCCCTCCCCAATTGGTATCGGTCAAATTCTTAATCCCCATAACGGTAACACTCTTGTAACGCCTCTGGTGTTTTGGGTGTCCATGGGCAGCGCCGTTCCTTACCATCAGGTATTCCGTCTGTTTTACCGGGTTATCGGATAAAAAATTTGCGATCTCCAAACTCTGCTGAGCGAGAAATAATGGCATATTTTTCGGATAAAGAATGCCCATAGTTCATCAGTAGACTCTAATGGATTGTTGATGTTAAAAACGTAATTATAAGTGCGTAATATCGTATAATAAAGTATTCATAATTTTTCCAGGTAACCTTCAACAGGTCAGCCGGTTGGATCGGCTTCAAACATCTGACTGTGGAGCAAACGCTCGTATCACAGGTCCCTACAACACTTCAACTTCTTTAAAAACAACTTGTGAGCTTATAAAGCCGGTTGCAGAAGTAGCGACATCTATACAAGCCGCCCAATGGGCACTATGCGCCATCTCGATAATAGCCGCCAGTGTGCTATTGTATCTACTCGCTCCATGTATTAAAAACTTATTCTTAAAAAAAATGCCTCGGTCACAACAGATCTCCCTCTCGCAAGCAGCCTTAGTTGAAGAGGATTCACCGTAAGTAAAAAAATGTATTTTTAAGATTTTCTCGCACACAAATTAGTGGATAATTTCCAATACACAAAATGTTAGCGTGTACAGGGTGTATAATAATAATATTGTGCAATAAAATTCGTTTTAGTCGTCTCTTATGTAATTTATTAGTAATTGTGTGACAATACACCCTGTATGTAACGTGTAATTCAAGTGATTGTGAAATAGTTGCTGAATATTTCTGTATAAACACTATTTTGTTTTAATATCTAATGAAATAATTCAGAACTTAAAAATTCTTATGAAATTTTCACTGTTTAATCTATTTTTAAAGCAATTAATCTAACTAAAAGTCTTTTACAAGTGTGATTTTGTTATTTTAAGTATCTAATAAGTAGGTTTTAATAGTTTAAGGTTCAATTCAAAGCTATGTTTGAATAAAAAAAAACATAATTGACTAATAATAAAACAGAGGTTGATGCAAATCAACTTAGCTCAAAGATTACGTCCGAATTCTTAAACGTGACCCCACTATTTAATTAAAACTAGTGAATGTTACGAAGTACGTATTGTACACAAAATATTTTCTACCCTTTTGGCCGGAGATCGTCCCGCGACGCCCGAAGTGTCTCTGGCGGCGGCTGGGTTGTAAGGCGGCAGCGATTCGCTACCTCACGCGCCCCATCTCTTCCTTAGCTAGCATGACTGCTTCGCAAAAGGAGCCCGCACTAGGGCCGGACGCGAGAGGTCGCCGTCGCCGATCACGTCCCACGGCGGTCAGCACACGCAGGGCATTCCCCTACTGTGTGTTCCATCGTGTCCTCAGGGCGGTCCTCGCAGTGATGACACCCGGGCGTTTCCTCCCGCCCCATCAGACACAGATACCTCCCGAAACTTCCATGTCGGTGAGGACCTACGTCAGGTGAGAACAAGCGTCTCTCAAGCCACTACTCAAATTTTATACCTTGTCTACAGTATCTTGAAGTTGCCACAAATGGTCTTGTTTTTCGAATCTTCCCTGTCAGGCATCAGGCAGTTGTCATAAGTAATTTACACTCCATTCTTTTTCAGTGGTTTCTTCAACTTATTCTTTTCATTCTATCACAGTTGCATACTTAGCGAGTCGACCGCTCTTCTGCTTCTGTATGATCTTATAATGACAGAACGTAGAAGCCAAGAGGACACCGGTATCGTCCCTCACCCACCTTTATTATAGACTTTATTTTCATTGTTTTAGTGTTTACTTTGATATGAAAAATTTGTTTGTTGAACTTAGTTCGTCGATATGTAAAAGTATCGTTTGAGAATTCGGATGTATAGTATACAATCGAATTAGTAAATCAGAGCTTCTAATACTAAGTCTTAGTATGTATGTTGCGGTGTAAACTGTGATACATGTAATTTGAAATAATCGATCTTATTGCAATAGAGTTGCGGTCATTAATCCCGTGCAGAACAAATTGTTATAAAGATCAAACTTTTGTTCTTTTTGAGACACTAAAATGTGACTAAAGAGAAATAAATCTCTGATACCAAAATTCGAAAAATTCTAGTGTGATTGTGATAGTTGATACTCATTTTGGGGCATTGTGGTATTTGATCTAGTTACGTACTCTAAAAGAGTAGTGTTTTATTTTTAAAGTCTGAGTAGTCAAATAGTTTTAGATTTATCTATCCAATATTTTTAATATCACTTTTAAAATTACACCTCTGCCTATTTATGCAGTATGGCAACATTTGCTTTAGGCAAATGTGGCAATAATAAAAAATTATATTCTTGAAACTTCATATTTATTTTACATCAAGTATTTTCTGACCAGTACGCTTGTAGAGATGGGATTACTATCGATATTCTTTTTCGATCTTTAAAATGAAAATACATATCAAAATATAACCAATAGTGTTGATCTCGATATTTATTAAAACTTTAATACCTCTTAGAAATCAGTGTGGCCATCTTTTCGAGTAAACTGGAACTTTTGTAAATAGATCCTATTTATCTATCAGTATTGCACTTTTAAATTTTCTAATCATTTTGCCATATTATAAATGTATTTTATATTAATAAGTAATCACGCATAGTATGTAATTATAATAAGATAAGGTTAATTTTACAATGTAAATCGTGTTTATTATTTTATGTATTTCATATACACATAATTTAAACACAGCTGTCTTAATAAGAAACTAATTTGCAATAGTCCTGTCACTATAAATTCTTTGTAATATGACAGAGATGGCACGATATCACTACATAGTATAAACTAAGTGTCGCAAAGTCGCTATCCGCCATCTGTCTGCCCCTATGTATGCTTAGATCTTTAAAACTACGCAACGGATTTTGATGCGGTTTTTTTAATAGATAAAGTCATTTTTAATGAAGGTTCGTATGTATAATACATGCATTTTGCACCCGTGCGTAGCAGGGGGCGGGTCGCTAGTTTTATATACAACCTATAATTGAGTAGCGTATTCAGGCGTAATTGGGTAGTTTCCAGGGTATCAAAATTAAAAATCTAATTAGTCCGTCCGTTAGATAATGAAAAAATATTAGACACGTATTTTTTTATCTTCTCGTATTAAGTTGCAATACTTAGATAAAATGGCACTAAGGTCCCTTTTCACCAAGCTCTGTAAAAACTCAGTTACACGTAACCTAAGTTTAAAGTAACCTAAGTTCTATGTTCTGTGTTTTCTGTACTGAGTTCCGTGTAAACTAGTTTCTGTTTGTAGCGGTGAAATGTAAAATGAAGCTGTAATTTCGTTTAAACGCTTTAAATTCGATTAGACGCTTTAAATCAGTTTTGTTAGGTGTAATCGTGATCAGTTTCGTTGGTGAAAAGGGACCTAAGTTTAGGAGTGGGAGGTCATTACGTCATAACGTGCTACAAAATGTGGCACGCTGTGACGTCACACGATATTTCAAATTAATATATCGTCGAAAGTATTTAATTTTGTGAGAAAAGAAGAAATACGTGTCTAATGTTTTAAAATAATCTACCAGGCGGACATTAAAATAAAATTTAGGAAACTACCCTATTGTGCTACGGAATACCATTTGTTTAAAGTTACACCTTTCTTAAAAATATTTTGGTTAAGAGCATAAATGAAATACAAGTTATGTTCAACAATAGTTTAGTTGACAGGTAGTCAAATTCAATAATTATATTGAAAAATATTGAAATGTCAAAAGCGATACTTTTCAATGAATTTTGTGTTGGATTGCAACTTATGACGTCATCATATTTCTGCGTCAAATAGCATACTTATTTCCTTAAAATTAGCGAGAAAAATTCAAAAATAGGTAAATTGTCAAATCAATGGATGAGAGTATGATTATTTTTTAATTATTTATTGCATTGAAAAGTTGAAACTATTTATTTTAAACCTATGATACTACCCAATTTTACATTAAGTAATAAAAAATATCCCTTACTAGCAAACCCGGTGAACTCCGTTTCGCCACATTCATTTTATGTAACATTTCGTTTGGTGATTAAAAGTGAATTTTCTCTGCTATAAACCTCATTTAGCCCGATACACTTCCAACGCATGCAAAACCGTGGACATAGGTTCGTGCATTCTGGAGTTATAGCGTCAGGAAGGAAAACCCGACTTATTTTTATATAGTAGATAATAAAACAATACGACGAAATTTTCGTAAAAAAAAAACACCAACTCGATGATATGTATAAATAAGCGTAAGTATATGTACTTAAATGTGTGATGCGTCAGTTTTTTATTTTTTCTATGTGTAATTTATTTCTAGAATGTTCGTTTTTAAGCAATTTATTGTAATAAGGCGTATAAGAAGCAATGACGTCCGTTCGTGTCGTATTCGTATGTAGTAATATTTCCTATTTGCATATTATTGTAAAACATCATATTAGCTGGTAATATTTTCAGTTCAATGATAACTAAATATAAAGAGCGTATTCCTTTTTAAAAGGCCGGCAACGCACCTGTGACTCCTCTGGTGTAGGGGGTGTCCATGGGCGGCGCTGATCGCTTACCATTAAGTGATCAGTCTGCTCGTTTGCCTCCTATTCCACAAAAAAAGTTAGGTTGAAATTATTGATTCATTTATTTAGTCAATCAAGAAGTTAATAATGAAATATTAATTAGGCTGTATGGCTTACTGTGTCTTCTACGCGATGTTACGTCATCGCCGATTAACGCCATGGATTCATGACTTGGATCCCATGCGTAGCTTGAAACTAGTCAAGTCACCTCGAGCAGTTACGTGAGTAATGTCCGAATTCTCTAACGCCACTCAATTTTGAGACGCGCTAAAATTCAGTTTTGTAAACACAATTCTTTATATTATTACTTTATATTTAATTCTTGATATTTAAGTACACACGGCTACACATCGAGCTTTACATAACCAGTATAAACTGAACGTTAAATGCGCGGAAAGATGATGCGACGCGATACCAGGATAAACTGGTTTTGTATGGATTGATGTGTGGCCGTGTGTATAAACTTAAAGTTGAGTAGTATTCGAGCGTAAGCCATACAACGTAATTAAGAAAAGTATTGGCGAATTTGCTTGGACTAATTGAGTCCATATCAAAATATCGATTGTCGCAGGGCCGCCTGAATATTTAAATTATTATTTATGTAGCTATTTAATAGTATTAATAAAACCGTATCTGATTCGAAAAGACATTAAAAGAAAATGGTTTGATTTTATAGGAGTTACTTGAAGTGTTTTATAAAGGCGAGTGCACACGGTCGATATTAATCGTGATATTTGGATCGAAATCCAGGATAATGATATTTATCGAGATTTTAGTATAGCGTTATAATAATAATTATATTGTAATTAAATATCACGATACATATCGAGCATGTAGCATACGCCAAATAAAATAACAAGATATTTTTTTGAAATGATACTGATGAACATTAACTATTGTTATAATATAACAATGTTTTAGGTTTCCTTATTATGGTTTACATTACTAATGGGTAATGAAT